CCCCTAACCCCTAACCCTAACCCTAACCTTAACCCTTACATCCTTACCACTACAGAAATGAAGCTGCTGGCACATCGTTCTCTAGACATTAAGATTTCCTTATTAAATTCAGAAAGTGTCAACAATCATCCAAGTGATTCAAGTTGCACCGAAAATGCTTCCACAGTTAACTATCCCATCATACTGACGTTGCCCACTGCCAAGGAGTGAATGCAAAGTCAGTGTTGGAGATGCAAGAGAAGGAAAGAGAACCTGTCGAAACACCCACCATGTGCGGGACAGTGTTGACGCTGGCAAATGAATAATGACCGATGTGTCCTGACCCTGTATGAGTGCCAACGCCTGTGCTTTTACAGCTTCATTCAGTGCCAGTCTGCTGAACCCCAGAGGCCATAAGTCACCCCACATCACCCTTCACCTGGGTGGGAGGTCGGGTCTCACCATGAAGTCCTTTGACACCTCGACAAGACGGCATTTTCTGACCACTGTTGACTGACTTGAAGTCCATTGTGATGTTTCCGCTCTTGAGAAAGAACGTGTCATAGGATCCAACTACTCAACTTAAAACCAAAAAGTAGACTCGTGAGTGTTGTGGGACATGGACTCACCCAGGGAGCTGAGAACAGCTCCTAACAGGCCCATCGACGGAGTGTGCGTCTCGGGGGGGCCCTGCAGGCAAGAGCCTGGAAACAAATACTTTCTCATTCTGATGTTACTTTATGTCAGCAAAATGTGTCTCCCCTCTTCCCAAACAGATGACTGCCAGCACGGGCCCCAGCTGCACACCTGGCCCCTCCACAGAGAAATGGTCTTTGTTTCGACCTGGAACTCATTTACAACATTGCCCAGCATTGGATGAATTCTCTAGACCTGTCAACAGGGAACTGATGTGCTGCTTGGGGGAGCCGGAAAGAAGGGCTATTATTTCTGCTGTCACTCAGCCTGACACATCCTAACTAGCTGCATGAGCACAGAGAGCCTAAACAGGACACCGGCCCTGTGGTTTTCCCAACCTAGAGAAGCAGCCAGGCTCAGGGACGCAGACACATGCTGAGTCTGTACCCCAGGACCTTCCTACACCGACGGTCCTCTAACCACCTGGGCATCACTTGCGTGGCTGCTGTCTCAGAACAACCTGTAACATGAGTCCTCAGAGTCTCTCTCGAGCACCAGGTCTGCAGCAAGACCATGAAGGAGGCATGATGAGGCAGCTTCTCCTCTGCATCAGCTCAAGTCCCCGCGGAGGCCTGAGGACAGCTCTGACAGCCACACAGCTTGTCACCTCTGCAGAAGCAGGCAGCTGCTCCCTCCCCAGGGCTCCTCCATGCTCAGCTCTCATCCCACAGCTGCCTCCATCTGTGCCACTCTCCACATCTCACGTTACAAACTTCCCTGAAGGACTAAATTTTTCAGCTTGTCACCTTCCAATATGGAGTGTCTTAGTGGCCAAAGTTCTTGAGCCAGGTCACTTGAAGGGCCACTGCTGGCTTATACACTGGTTCTTTTCCCCCCTTTTATCTCCAAGCCACACTCTTACTTGCTGCCACTAACAAAGGCCCCCACTCAAAGTGCCCAGTGTGCGTGGTTGTGTGCTGCACAGGGAGTGTTGTGCTCATGTACACATGGTCATAAAAGTGCATCAGGTGCATCTCTATATCTCGTTTCCCTAAAACCTGGTTCTTACCAGGTGGGGTCAAGCCCCACCTCCTCTATGAATGTGATAAAAGTAGGGATACTCTTACCAGAAAACTACAGGAAGGGAACCAGAAAATTTTTCACACAATTTTAGGGCACTCGCACATAGCAAAAGCCACCTGTGGACNAGTCCCCGCGGAGGCCTGAGGACAGCTCTGACAGCCACACAGCTTGTCACCTCTGCAGAAGCAGGCAGCTGCTCCCTCCCCAGGGCTCCTCCATGCTCAGCTCTCATCCCACAGCTGCCTCCATCTGTGCCACTCTCCACATCTCACGTTACAAACTTCCCTGAAGGACTAAATTTTTCAGCTTGTCACCTTCCAATATGGAGTGTCTTAGTGGCCAAAGTTCTTGAGCCAGGTCACTTGAAGGGCCACTGCTGGCTTATACACTGGTTCTTTTCCCCCCTTTTATCTCCAAGCCACACTCTTACTTGCTGCCACTAACAAAGGCCCCCACTCAAAGTGCCCAGTGTGCGTGGTTGTGTGCTGCACAGGGAGTGTTGTGCTCATGTACACATGGTCATAAAAGTGCATCAGGTGCATCTCTATATCTCGTTTCCCTAAAACCTGGTTCTTACCAGGTGGGGTCAAGCCCCACCTCCTCTATGAATGTGATAAAAGTAGGGATACTCTTACCAGAAAACTACAGGAAGGGAACCAGAAAATTTTTCACACAATTTTAGGGCACTCGCACATAGCAAAAGCCACCTGTGGACCCGGGAGCATCAGGAGCTCAGGCTGGACCCTTGTTGGAGATACTGGCCCTTGGCCAGAGCTTAAAGGCCTAGTCTGATCAGTCATAGCCAGGGAAACAGGGCCATGTGGCAATTCTGGGCATTTCTCCCAAGGAAATAATTCTAAAAGCAAAAGAACAATCTAACTGTCCAATTTAGGTGAATAATAAGATAAGTCATTACACCAACCAAATGTTGGCACCATTTAAAATGGTCATAAAAATAATACAAGAAGCCCAGCTGGGGTGGCTCAGCAGTTGAGCATCAACCTAGGATCCAGGAGATCGCGGTTTGATTCCCAGTCAGGGCACATGTCTCGGTTGCAGGATTCTTGATCCCCAGCAGGGGGCGTGCAGGAGGCAGCAGATCAATGCCTCTTATTATTGATGTTTCTCTCTCTCCCTCTCCCTTTCTCTCTCTGAAATCAATAAAGACATAAAAACAATAACATGGGGGAAATCATAATACATATATTGTATAATTATAACAAGGAATGAGGTGACATAAGATTGTGTACACAGTATGTCTAGAGCTAGATTTGCTTTTAATTCTGTTCATAAAGAAAAAAGACTGGAAGGAAATGAACCAAAATGCTGAAATGATTGTGTCAGAATCGGCCTACGTAAATTTTCCTTATCTCATATACATTTCATAACGAAAGTAAGGCTGCCTCATAGTCCTGTCTACTCTCTGCTTCAGCTCATAGAATTAACTGTCCTAAATATTAGGAAAGCAGCTTGCTCCATAGAGAGGGGACTATGACATACAAACATAAAATATCATTGTGAGCTTTGTTCTGAAGCTCTTTTAGCAAAATCATCTAGTTATACATGACAACATTCTGGGGGGAAAGGTCAATCCAGTTAAACATTTCATCTCCAATGTCACCTGCGCCCACCATCCAGCCCTGCTCCGTGGCTGGAACCTCTGCTCCGTGATTCCTGAGCACAGTCACAGAGTCTTAATTTTTGGTAGTTTGTCATCCCAAGTTTTAAATAGTTTGAAAAAGCATATAAATCAATAAATCACACATGCTCCCATTTCTTACAATAACAACGAGCTATATGGTTCCATTACACCTGTAAACTTCAGTGTATTTTGATATACAGAAACAGTTCAGATTTTGGGAAACTGTTCAGCTCCAACTCCAAGTCTAACTGTTAACTGGGCCATACCTGCTTCCCCTGCAAATGCAGCTGCTTCACAGCTCCATTAGCAACATCAAAAGGCCCTGGAGACTTTGATAAAGTCAAATCTTTGTGATTAGATAGGATGTAAAACAATGTTAAAGAATCTAAAAAACAGAAGCATTTGCTTTATAATGTTCTCGGTGCTCTTTATAACACTAAATACATTCTCCTACTTTTTCTCAAAGTCCCTAGGCAGAAGGCACACATGTCAGGTGCTAATTAGGACCTGATCATCAGCATCCCTGTCTTACTGAGCAGCATAATAAATTAAATACGNCTTTATAACACTAAATACATTCTCCTACTTTTTCTCAAAGTCCCTAGGCAGAAGGCACACATGTCAGGTGCTAATTAGGACCTGATCATCAGCATCCCTGTCTTACTGAGCAGCATAATAAATTAAATACAAAGCATCTGCAGGTGACATGAAGGTGAATAGCAGAAGCAGCTCTGAGTTCAAAGCATCCACTTACCACTACGCTTCGTAAAACGTAAACCTGTCGTTCCGATCTTGTACCAATGTCATCCACCCTGAAAGCAGTGATGACTCAACAAATATTTTATTTAAAACGTGAATATTTGACAGTTTTACATAAATTGTGACCAGCTACAGAGACTCCTCCTTTGAAGTCCGGGTTCCGACTCAGAGTGTGTGCAGACGGTTTATCTCCGTTACCACCTTTTCCACAATCTTCTGACAGTAGGTGGGGCTATTGTAAAACAGAATATCTAGCAAGGTTTCGTTGGTAAAGTGACGAAACCGACCANCAGAATATCTAGCAAGGTTTAGTTGGTAAAGTGACAAAACCGACCAATACTTGGTAAAGTGATTTTCTTAATATTCCTGTTTAGAAAGAAAAAAGCATGTCAGTAGCCACCTTCAATTTATGAATTTTTTTCAGTTTATATTTTGAGTCCTGAACATACACTGAGTAAAAAAATCCCACAAATATGAGTTGATTTTGTAGAATGAGTTATCCTAAATAAATCAAGATTAGCAAAAAAGCTGCTATTTATGCCTTTAACAGTACTATGAATTTGAGGAATTTCTGAAGAGGTATCATATAAAATAAGGCTTATGAAAATATTTTTATTTTTAAAGAAGAAAGCCTACTGTTTCATTTTTCTTCCAATTTATTGGAAAGCTGGATACCTGACAAAAACTGTCAGTGGAAAGGACAATAAAGTATCAGGAAGTAAGCAAGGAGCTTAATGGAATTAAGATCTTCCCTGATTTGAGAATGGCCACAGCAAAGTTCAACAACATCCAGAGAAAGAAAACACCCTCATACCAGGGCCCAACATGGATAAATGCTGCTTGTAGGATCAGTTTTATTAAACCATGTGTCCTGAAACATGATGACTTGCGCCAAAATTCAGATGTTATTAGCCTGTGTCTTAGCATAAATGTTACCTAAAATTAAAAAAAAAATTTTTTTACCTAAATCTGTGGTTCTCAATTGAAAGCATTCAAAATTGAGTGGGGGTATTTTTGGTTGTCACAGTGCCTGGTGAGTGCTGTGGACACTTAGACTAAGGATACTGAATGGCCTAAAGTACACACTCAACAATCTTTGCCAACTTGTTATGGCAGGTAACCCTAATCACTGTTTCTTTTTGTCATCATTCTAAAGAATGATGCTAAAATAGAGAAGTCTAGAAGTGGCACTGGTCCTAAACAAATTTTACTCACCGTGGGGAATTTCATCAAGGTTATCATCAATTCCACACTTTACAACCCTGGGCCTTGTCTGTCCATCTTGTGTGGTCCCCCATTCATCTGGCACTGACGAAGGCTGGAACTGAACAATAACCTTCGAGATACAACAGAAGGGTTATGACAGCTCCTTACCAAACTCATTTCCACTACAGACTAAGTAATGTATTTCAATACAGTAAACTACTTCCTAGTATGGATCCTTTATACGTTAAGTACTAGCACCGTTCCCCCCAAACCAATCTGTAATGATCCTGCTATTGATCATTAACCGTTAAAACTAAGCAAATCAATACCATTATTTCCAACGCTAATGTTGGAAAATAATACAACTAAATCAGAATATACCTTGATTTAGAAATGTAATATGAACATCCAAGCTTACACATTAGAAATTAAGGAAAAGTTACCTGAAGAGAGGAGCCCATTTACAAATACATCTTCAGTGCCAAACACTGACTGACCCACACCTTTTAGGAAGGTATAGTTTAATCCAACTATATTACATTAAACCTGATATCATATGAAAATATTTTTAAAAAAATGAATGCATGCAAGATGTTATGCAAAATTTTTGTTTGTACCCAAAATAGAAGGTCAAAAAATTTAAACAACAAAAGGACACACGTGCTTCTGGTAAGGAGGAGAACCAGGAGAGTGCAGAAGAGGCTTTATTTTCATTTTGCACCTTTTCATACTGTTTAAGTTCTGCTAACATGCACATGTGTTTTTATTTTTATTTTTATTTATTTTAGTATCAATAAGGACTACAGAAGTGGTTAGAACATAGGTTATTTTATAGTTTCCTGCAACAATAGCCTATGTTCTGAGCAACGACTGCATGCCAAGCACTGTGCTAGGTGCTTTTGCATGAATTCCCTCACTTCACCCAAACTATGGCCCAGGGAGGTAAATCTTACTGCAGGTGAAGAGCCTGTGGCTCAGAGGGATTACGGTTGGTAAATGAAAGGATACCGATGGTGCCCACCCGTCAGGAGTGGGCTGGGCAGGGGCCTCCTTGGCCTCTACTAGTTGGATTAGATGCCTACGATTCTGTTTCCAACTCCTTCAGATTTTAGGAAGTCCCACATTTTGTGCCTGTGTCTCGCGATACTTCCTGCCTCTCGTGATGGCTCCTGCCTCTCACGATAATAGCCACCTCTCGCGATAGTGGCCGCCTCTCGCAATGGTTCCTGCCTCTGGCGACACTGCCTGCCTCTCCCAATAATAGCCACTTCTCATGATTGTGGCCGCCTCTCGCGATAATGGCCACCTCTCGCGATAGTTTCCACCTCTGGCGATACTGCCTGCCTCTCACGATATTTCCTGCCTCTCGCGATAATGGCCGCTTCTCGCGATGGTTCCTGCCTCTCGTGATGGTTCCTGCCTCTCGCGATAATAGCCACCTCTCGCGAAAGTGGCCGCCTCTCGCGATAATGGCCACCTCTCGCGATAGTTCCTACCTCTGGCGATACTGCCTGCCTCTCACGATATTTCCTGCCTCTCGCGATAATGGCCGCTTCTCGCGATGGTTCCTGCCTCTCGTGATGGTTCCTGCCTCTCGCGATAATAGCCACCTCTCGCGAAAGTGGCCGCCTCTCGCGATAATGGCCACCTCTCGCGATAGTTCCTACCTCTGGCGACACTGCCTGCCTCTCACGATATTTCCTGCCTCTCGCGATAATGGCCGCTTCTCGCGATGGTTCCTGCCTCTCACGATGGTTCCTGCCTCTCGCGACAGTGGCCACCTCTCGCGATAATGGCCACCTCTTGCGATAGTTCCTACCTCTGGCGATGCTGCCTGCCTCTCGCGATAATGGCCGCTTCTCGCGATGGTTCCTGCCTCTCACGATAATAGCCACCTCTCGCGATAGTGGCCACCTCTCACGATAGTTCCTGCCTCTCGTGACAGTGGCTGCCTCTCACAACAGTGACCACCTCTCAAGATAATGGCCGCCTCTCGCAATGGTTCCTGCCTCTCGTGACAGTGGCCGCCTCTCGTGATAGTTCCTGCCTCTCGCGATGGTTCCTGCCACTCCTGATATTTCCTGCCTCTCATGATACTGCCTGCCTCCCGTGACGACTCCTATCTCTCGAGATAATAGCCACTTCTCGTGATTGCAGCTGCCTCTCGCGATAGTTCCTACCTCTGGCGATACTGCCTGCCTCTCACGATAGTTCCTGCCTCTCGCGATAATGGCCCCTTCTCGCAATGGTTCCTGCCTCTCGCGATAGTGGCAGCTTCTCCCGATAGTTCCTGCCTCTCGCGATAATGGCCGCTTCTCGCGATGGTTCCTGCCTCTCGCGATAGTGGCCGCCTCTTGCGATAGTTCCTGCCTCTCGCGATGGTTCCTGCCTCTCGTGACAGTGGCCGCCTCTCGCGATAATTCCTGCCTCTCACGATGGTTCCTGCCTCTCGTGACAGTGGCCGCTTCTCACGATAGTTCCTGCCTCTCGCGATAATGGCCACTTCTCGCGATGGTTCCTGCCTCTCGCGATAGTGGCTGCCTCTCGCGATGGTTCCTGCCTCTCGCGATAGTGGCCGCCTCTCGCGATGATTCCTGCCTCTCGCGATAGTGGCTGCCTCTCGCGATACTGCCTGCTTCTCACTATAGTGGCTGCCTCTCCCGATAGTTCCATTGCTCACACAACTGCCCACCTCTCCCGGTAGTGCCGCCTCTCCCGATAGTGCTATTGTTCACAAAACTGGCTGCCTCTGGTGATAGTACCTGGTTAGGAAACTGTCAGGTAGTAGCTGCCACTTGCCATAGTAGCTGCCTCTTGTGATAGTGCCCAGCCCTGACCTTTGACCTCTAACCCTTGAACTCTGGCACTTAACCTTTGACCCCTGACCCCATGGCCTCTGACCCTTAGCCCTTGACATATGGCCCCTGACTCACAACCTAGAACCCTTTAGCTATCGACCTTTGAACCCAACCCATACCCTCTGACCCTTAACCTACAATACCAGAAGCTTGTCCTTGACCTTTAGCCTATGACCTTGTACCCTTGAAGTCCTCTGACCCTCGACCGACAAACTCTGACTTTTGAACCCTAACCCTTAACCTTTTATGTGACTATTCACATATGACCCTTCGCTTCAAACCTCTAGCCTTAGAACTGTCACCTATGGCCCTAATCCCTAGCCATAATCCTAAAACCCTAACCCCAACCCCTTGCTTTTGCTGACACTTGACCTTTGACCTGTATTCCAATATTTGACCTTTGATCTCTGTCCCATGACCCTTGGCCCACGACCTATGACCCATGACCCTCTGACTTCCAACCTTTGACCTCTAGTTTATATCCTTCAACCTTTGAACTTTTGACCTGAGACCCTTGACCAATGACCTTAGACCCATGGTCTTTGAGCTATAACCCTTTGACCCTTAACCTCTGGCACTGAGCCCTCGAACTTTGCCCTTTGCTCTTTGACCTCAGAAATCAATCTGAACCCTTAACCCATCCCATCTCATCCACAACCTCCTGACCCCAATTTCAACCCTAACCTTAACTCTTATCCTCAGCCTGATCCTCTAAAATTCTAATCTAACTTAAATGGGGGGGAAATATCATTACAGTAAATCAAACACAGTGAAATGACGCTACGACAACGCACAGTAGACACGAGATGCAGAAGGCTGGTGTTGGGGAATCAGAGCAACCTCTTCCAAAGAAAAATATATAAACGATATTTCTCTGACATTAAAAACTTCAGTGCACCAACAGAAGCTATTCAAAAAGCAAAAAGACAGCCTGTGAAATCCAAGAAAATAGTTACATTATATCTCCACAACCATTGCGGATAAGCCAAGACCATAACCTTGGCAGGAAGTCAAGGGAAAGACAGGTAACTGGGACGCAGTCAGGTCTCATGGGCCTTTATTAAGAAAAACATTATGGGTTATTTTTAATTTATAAGTTATTATGATTCCAGTTTTGTTGCCTGTTGCATTTATATTTTGTATTTAGTATAATATTTATAGTTTAAAGGCATAACATTTTTTTAGTGCTTACAATTCAATTATGAGATGGATTTTAATTTATTATGGTTCATTTCCCATTGGAAACATTCAGGTGCTGTTATTAGATTCCCGCTAGTTGTGTAATCGGAAGCTCTAATTTTATGTTTGATAGTTTTTTAACTGGGACTAACGTTGTAACAATATAATGCTGTAAACTACAATTATTACTTAAAATTTCACAGGCCAGGAAAATGGTAAGTTTTAGAACTAAATTTTTTGTGCCTTAGTAGCAGTTTGAGAGACATGTTTTTCATAGCCATTCTAGTTTTTATTGGAATTAATATAGTTAGTGGTAAATATTGAGTTAGGGGGTAGGTCACTGTGCATGGCTTTCAAAGCTCGAGCAGGGTTAAGTGGCAGTTACCCATGCTGGCACTGTGTGATAACAGCCCTTGGATCTCCTCTAAGTCAGCTAATTGCATGTGAATCCCTGTCTCAGGGTAACCCAAGCAGAGGCAGCAAGCTACTTACCTTCTTGGGCCACGGTTCCTCTGGATGGGAGGAGTCAATGAATTACTAAAGAGAAAGTGCTCAGAAGGATACCTGACAGTATGTTTGTTTAATAAATGAAAAAAAAAAAGGAGATAAAGAATCTTTATTTATATAAAACCCCTATCTCCTCAGCAAACACAAACACCAGGTTTAAAACAATCTTTGTGGCACGCACAAACAAGCATTACTCCACTTGAGATCCGGGCCAACGTTCAAGCTAAATGTGCTGGTGCTGTCACCTGGAATGCTCACTGGGCTGGATCACAGAACATGACCCAGTCCCTCTGGTCTCTCAGTGGAAGCCAGCAACAGTGTTCACGGGGCACAGAAAGTCCCCAAGGTAACTGGGAGTGTTTATTCTGGGGACTGCATGCTTAGCAAGAGCCCTCAGCTTTACGTTGTGCAGGAACCCAACACCAGATGGTCACTGCGCGATCACCACCATTTTTCGTGTGCTTCTCTGTCACCACCCCCACCCCAGGTTGACTAAGCCAGGTCCTGCCCGGTGTCAACCTACTGAAATTGTTGAATGAATAGCACCTTTGGGCAAATGCCCACCTTCCAGGACCTCCATTTCCCCTCAGTTCCTCAAGGCCCCCCAATGCTTCTGTTGGCTTGGTTACTTTCTAGGCTCAGTGTCCAATCCAGTGACATGGCAGCAGCTAGTCCCAGGACTGGGCACCCAAGTGACTAGGTGAACAAAACATGCCTTGAGCGAACATGACAGGGAGAGTGCACTGGACAAGCTGTGGGCTGATGAAGTAGCCCATGGCTCGTTCACAAGCCAAGGTGCCCAGGAACTCCCCTTCCCTGTAGGTGCCTGCTGGGCACAGCTGTGGAGCACCCTCCGCTCCCATGGGATGTGCTGAACCCAGGCCAATGATGGGAGCAGAGGGTCCAGTCTCTAGCCCGAGTGTCAGACAACCCACAACTTAATAGCAGGGCTCTCTGCATCTTTTGGAAATCTACCAGAAGGCATTCTGTAGACATGGGTAAGGCCCAATCCTCACCTGCTGGCCTCAGCGCCAAGAGGGCACACACCTAGGAAGCACTCATGCACGTGGGCCCTGTGGAGAGCACGGCCACCGCTTGGGGTCTGGCTGCATTGCTGCTGGGGGTGGGCTGGAAGAACAGGGAGACACCAAGGCTGCTCTGCTCCGCGACCAGGGACGGAGTTCCTGACTGCCACCGTCCCCAGTGGGAACAAGCCCAGAAGGCAGGAGGGACTCGAGCTGCAGAGGGAATTCTGGGTTTCCCCACCAACGTCGCGCTCCACGGGCAGCCCAGAGCAAGGCGCCGGGGAGAGGCCCGGCGTGGCCTGAGGACCCTACCCCAGCCGCAAACCCAGCCCCGACCCTAACCATAACCCCTACAAGGGCAGCCCTGACCACTAAGCCCTGAGCCGGAAGCCGCACACTGCACCCCAACGCGAAAGCCCGGCCCCAGCCTAAGCCCCAACCCTTTAACCCTGGGCCTGAGCCCCGAACCCTTCCCTCCTCGACCTGACGCCTCCTCTCTCACCGGCCTAACCGCGCTCTTCCGTCCCCTCAGCCCGTTCCTGGCGCTCGGCAGCACCTCCGCTCCAGAGAACTCCGGCCTCTCCCGCCCGGCTCCGGCCCGGCCCACGGTGGCGGAAGGACGGAACCCGCGGCAGCAGCGCTTCCCGCTCCCAGGCGCGAGACCGGAAGCCCG